AGACGAAATTTCTAACAATCTTCGATTCCTTTTCTAAGTACGGACAAGCATACATTTTAAATAGCGTCAACACCGTGAACGTAATAGAAGAATTATACCTTTTTATCACTCATTTTGGCGCACCATGTTCCATTACTTGTGATAGTGGAACCGAATTCAAATCAGAACTCTTCATGGAATTTAGCAAACTTCACAAAATTCAACTTCATGTTACTACCCCACGCAATTCGAACAGTAATAGCCCCGTTGAAAAATTCCACCTATCTCTTCTTGAAAATACCCGCGTCCTGAAACTACAACATCTCAATACACCCATAAAACAACTAGTCCAACTAGCAATCATAGGGTACAAGTCGTCAATCCATTCCGTGACAAAATACTCCCCTTATGACGTAGTCTTGGGTAATACAAAATCACTAGACCCTTTTGACTTAACGGATGAGCACATAATCAATAACTTCTTAAATAACAGGAAAAGTAGGTTGATTACCCTCTACGACAACATCCAGAAACGTTGTCAAAATAATATAGAACGTGTCATCAATAAAAGAAACAAGACTCGCGAATACCCTGTAGAGTTCACAGAAAATCAAGATATATTTGTGTAAAATCGCGAAGCTGCTCGTAACAAAGCTAAACCTAGACACATTAAAAACGAGTTTCGAAAGACTTAGGACTCGAAATTAAAACAACAACAGGAGCAATAATTTATAAATCGAAAATAAAAAAAACACCTATTCACTCTCGACGTTCTTTACAGGATGACAGAACGGACCACACCGATCCTAAGTATCCCTTCGACTTCTCGTGATGACCCAGGTAATAACCAGCCAAGAAATTGAAATTCAACAACTCGACACTCCACTCTTACCATTAGAACTCGGAAAATCAAGAATCATTCAAACAAAACATACATTTTTACATTATATCCAATCCCCTCTCTTAGAAATGCAACTCAGAAATATTGAATTTTTCTACGAGAGACTAATAATATCGATCAATAATAAAACTGAATTGGAAAAGTACCGGATCATTCTGAATGATTCATTCAATCAAGCCAAATATTTCCTAACCACTACAAAAAGTAAATTGAGTAATATAATTTCAAGTAATCGCAAAAAACGCGGACTGATTAATGGTCTAGGTATGCAAGTAAATGGCTTTTTGGAACGTTAGACCATGATGACGACATTAAATACGATTCACAAATTGAAATACTATTTGAAAATCAAAATTCTCTCAATCATCAAATTAAACTACAGACTCTCCTAATCAAAAACTGATCAAAAACTACAATGAAACCATAACCAAACTTCACGATAATCAAATACTATTGAGAGATGAACTCAACCAACTAAGAGAAGAGTTCAATAACCGAACTAACGATTTATATTCTTATTTTGCATCCTTGGGGGCCTTTAGCCAAATAATAGGAAATTGCCAAAGTTTAACGCTTGTAAGAACACTTCAAAACACATTTCTTGACAATTTAGAAAATGCAATCATGTTTGCCAACTTAGGTTATCTCCATCCTTCAGTAATTCCACTAAATGATTTAGTAAGTGCTATAAAACACATGGCCAATATCTATGGTCATAAAAAAATCCTCAAAACTCAAAATGTATACCTTTATTACCAGCTGGCAGGAACTCAAGTAAAAATTGAGAATACAAAATTATTTTTGCAATACATATACCAATTTGCCTAGAAGACGACTTCCGAACCTATAATCTTATTAGTTTACCATACCAAAATACAATCATCACCCCCTATAAACCTTTCCTCATACTCGGTACCGAATATCACCAGTTTGAAAATAAACCATGCCCTCAAATAGATAGTGTGTTCCTGTGCCAACATCATGACGAAACTATAATCGACACCTGTATTATTGCTCTAATGAAGGACAAAAAACCCTATTGCCTGACGAATGAAGCCATTCTGAATCACATCATAATAGAAGAAATCAATGACCGATTTCTCCTAATTCTGCCATCCAGTGAATCCGTTATAGCCTAAGCGGATTGCGAGAAAAGACGTGTACACAGAATCGAAACAAATACTCTTCTGAAAATTCCAGAAGGCTGCAGTGTTGTAGTAAAAAACTTCACCTACAAAAACGAAGAAGAAACTATTTTGGGAAACCCACTTATCCTTCCCAAACTGAGATGGAATATGGCTTCCAAAACTAATGGTGACCAACACGAAGATAATCCATTGATACTGAAGTCAATCAATTTTCAATCCATACGAGAACTTCAAACAGAAGCCAAGCTACTCCAAACGCCATACCTTAAGCAATTAATACACCCAGCAATTTGGAATATACCCGGTGTAACTATATGCGTTCTACTCCTCACCGGATTCGCCATACATTGATTTTGGATGAAAAAGAAAAATGGTCATCGCAATACCAACCGACAGAAGGACCCTAAAGAAAACAATCCTTTATCCGTATTGTTTTCTCCTGAGGAGGGAGGAGTTATGTGAAGAGATTTTGCAGACTATCCAAGGAAATGCAGTGCTTGCAGATTCCCACCCCGGATCCAGAAACGATTATCTTCATAACTTTTTATTCATTCTATTTGCAGATCTTGATGTGAGAAGTTCTCTAGAAATTTTGTATTGTAATTTTGAGTTAAATAAATTGTTTTTAAAAACGGTTTTCGACTTCAAAGTTACTTAACTAGCTCGATCATTTACAAAGTAAGTTTGTGTTACCTCATCAACACCTCCATTATGGAAACGATATTCCTGTTCTTGCTCCTCTCTAGTGAGAAATTTCATAAAATAGTTTCCCAAGTGTAAACCCATGTGTCTTCCGTAATCAATACGTGCCAAGCTTCCTCGTAGGAAATCTCTCCCTAAAATAATGTGAGCGCTTCCGAAAATTTCATAGCTCTCCAGTGTTTACTCCAATTCTTTCCCATGGTTCCCATTGATAGTTTTGTGGAGCCTCAAGTTGGAAGATAATGACCTGTTACACTTGTCAGTTGATTTTTGTTTATCATATGTTCATCAACAAGTCTACGCCGTACCAATGTTACAGCGACTCCGGTGTCCACAAGGCATTTACAACATTTTCCGTTTACCATAAGTTTCACGAAATGTGGAACGTATCCACTTGTGTCCGAGGCTGTGTCTGGTATAACCATTACAGGCCTCTCAAATTTTCTTGTTTCATTGCCTGGTCTACAGTATCGAAAATTTCTCCTATATCTGTGCTCCTTTCTATCTTCGAAATTTCTTCCATTACTCTGAACCTGTCTATTCTGAAATTTTCTTTCCTTTTCCAGTTCTTGTCTTCTATTTTCATATGAGGTATATGCCCTGCGTTGATTACGTCCCATTCTTCGGCAGTCTCGATGAGCCCAGTGTCCGTCTTTATGACATATGTGGCACAAATTTCCATTATCTGGCTTTGATTCCACTGTTAGAAAGCACTCTCTGGCAAAGTGGCAGTGTTGTCCCCCGTGTTTCGTTGTTGCGTGTTGATAGTCCGTATTACTCCTTCCTTGATTAGCTGGTTCATCAACATCCAGTATTCCAAAAGCATCATCCTCATTTTCCACTGTAGAAATCTTCGTGCTGGCTATTTTTCCTTATAATATCTGCAAAATAGTTTCCTGTAGCTTCACCAGTTATTTCGCTTTATCGAGGTTAAAATCCACCTCTCTTAGTAGTAAGACTCCTGTTTCTTTCATGAGGTCTTTCCTAAGTGAACTGATTCAAAACTATTTCCCTGTTTTTCTTCTTGAGTCCTGCCTGTTTTTCAACCGTGGCATCCTGTAAGTCCTCTTTCAACAACTTGGCCCCTAAAATTCTTAACCGCCTGCAAAATGATGAAACGCCTTCATCGTACTTTTGAAAACATCTACTCAAATTATATTGCGATTCGCCTGGTAAACATCATGGTGAAAATGTTGTCAACATTTTTTGTTTCAATTCAAAAAAATTGAAACTGTCTAAACCTGGATCTGATCTGAAAAAATTGTGTGCTTCGCCTACCAATTTAAATTTCAACAAATGTAACGTTTGATCCTCGTTCCACATATCTAGTTTTGCTCGCATTTCTAACCCATTAAAATATTTTCTAGGATTTTTTCCTGTTAAATTATCCAACGTTGTTGCTATCATGCCCAGAGTATACATAGGCAGTGCCCAAGTCGTAGTCGGGGCGACCATCGTCGACGCTCCTGAGGCTGATGTCGTTGACGTGTTGGTAGTGTTAGTAATTTGGGAAGAAGTTGCCATATTTGAATTTTTTATGACCCGTGTGAAACAAATACAATAACAAAATGAAATTCCTACCTTTTTATGGCTTCTTTTTCCTGAAATGCTACCTGAAGTGACTCAGAATCTGTTGGAAATGCAATGAGGGCAGTGCAAAAGTGTAATTACAATAAGCCTGAATTACTTCTAAACGTTATATTGAACATATCAATAATTTATATATATATAATAATNACACAATTCTACGATGCATCTTTACCGATATAAAAGGCCGGCTTCTCGTCCAGAGAGGGCAGTTGAATTTAGAAAGTGAATCGAGCGGTTAAACAAGGAATTCAAATAGTGGAAATAAATTAAGCGTTAGTTGCTAAGCGTTGAATATAAATTAGTTTCTGATAGTGAAATATTGTTAGAAATAAATTTGTTTAAGACAGTTAATTTTTTAATTTGTTACAATATGTTTTTTCATTAACCAGCTGTCGCCTTCTTATGAACGAAAACTCTCATAAGTCGAAACTTGTGCGAGCTAAGAATTAACGAGGACGAAACGCTTTGAAAATCAATCGTTCGACTGTCGTGTGGATTTCAAACCACCGTTCTACAGAGCCGTAGATGAATGAGTTACACTAATGCAAACCAATAGCACCGTACAGGCTATCGTCCCTCCAAGATATTGTAGTTATTTAGTTACTTATTAGAATTGCCCCGGTCTCCCCGGGTTTAGTAGGTGATGCGATGTTAAGTTGAAAATTGGTTTGATTAGTTGTCAGTTGTAGGTTGTAGTTGAAATTACTTAGCCTAGTCACAATAATTTTTGTCGAGTATTGGGTGTTGCGTGTCTACACTATCAAAAATCTTTGGTTAAGTACTGTTCATTTTGACTTTTGATTTTGGTTAGGTAATTTTAGTGGAAGTTTTTATTTTACAAAATTTTCGTGATTTCAAATGTGACTGTATCATCAACAAATCATATCTGATTGAATCTATCAAGTTAATAGGGTAAGGATATTTTTAAAATAACTTTTTTGAAAATGTGTACCTACTTACCTATGAATACAAGTATCTTTCAGTGCTGGAAAAGTTATTGATAAGGTAATGATTATTTTTTCAATAACTCAGTTAACTGAATTATTTAAATTCAATGAAGTGATGAAATGATAAAAAAGAGATAATGAATATTCAGAAAGGAACAGTACTTATCAAGCTGATTACAGTTCTGACAATCCTACTTTCATTTAAGTCGAATATATCCAATTGAAATAATGTCAGCACTCTTGTCACAGTAATGTATTACCTGTTGTGACTATTTAAAAGGCACTATAATATACGATGCTAGCAAAGAAATGACTTTAAAAGTACAAGAAACTTCAAAATAATATCACAAAGCTTCCGAAATGAGATAATTGAACCTTGTGAAGACTCAAATGCATTTCGATCACCGACACATCAACAAAAAACTGCATGGAGATTATAAAATTCCAAAAGTCTTTTTTCAGTATTATTTTCAAGTGAATTCTCTAGAGACATTTGAGTTGTTTAGAGATGTGTAAATGATTATTTTTCCCCTGTTTACAAATTGCAGAGAATCAGCTCAAGATGTATCAGTTCAATAATACGCAAATAATTTGGTCCAGTTGCACTGAATTTTTAATTTTTTTTTTTGAGAAATATGTACTGTGAATACGTAATTATGTGTTAGTGCTAGCAGGGCAATATTTTTTTGTAAAGTATAAGTATATCAAACTTACTTCATTCCTCAAAATATTCAATTCATCACAAATTTATAAGGCATAATGTAAAAAATGCTTATATATTTGGATAATCCGATAATATATACTAGTGTCAGTATTACTATCGGACTTGAGCATTTCTCAGATGAGAAGGGTGTATAATTTCGTTAACTTTAAGCAGGTAGAACCAAATCGAAATACTTTATTTCATGGGTTTGAAATGATGTAGCCTTATTTAAGTCTCATTCATTACCCTATCGAACCTCAGACACAAATGATAAAAGCAGAAATCACTTTCTCAAATATCCTTCAAGAAGGAAAAATTGAAATACATTGAGGATTTTACATCTGATAGTTCTATATCCTCAGGTGATGGAGTCAATATTGTGGTTCTAATAACTTTAAGGCTAAACATGTGGAGTAATTTAAAAAAGACTTTCAAAAACTGTTTATTGAACTCAAGTTTATTCATGAAAACTCATCGATTTCTTGGTATACATTTGCCCTAATACGGATATACACCAAGTTCACTGTTCATCTATAGAAGATCTAGTATTGAATATGTTGATCATCAGTTTATTATTTGTGTCACCTTGACACTTACTTGGAGAATGACGAACAAGGACCACATTAAGCTATCAGAAATTTCGGTAATGAAGTAAAAAAAATAGCCTAAAATCAGGACATAAACATAACAGTCTAAAGTGGTTCTCTTAGCTTAACAATGATTTAATTTTGTCAAGTATAAGATTGATAACAGGTGTTTTCACAAACAAATTAGATTGTAATGTGTGATTTTGCCCTCATTAACTGAAAGAGCTCTTTAATCCTCTTTAATTTTTCCAATTTTAACAAGATAAACCTCTTTGTTATTTGTTTACGAATACATCAAACAATCTAAAGATTACATATATTGGTTTGTAAATTGGTATTCATAAAAGATAAATAGTAATTCACAGAAATCAATGTTAACTGTTATTCATAACACCTGCATTGTGATGATTAACCATAAAATGGGAAATGACACCATATCTTGTATTACAAGGTTCTTAGAGATAAACTATATACACCAACATTGACTCTCAATTGTATTTGTGTTTTGTTCTGATTAAGTATCATTTATTATCTGTGTGCTAATACTTTGTCTCTATAATATTTGAGAGATTAACAAGGTAATTGTATGACAGTGTTTTTGAATTTATATCGGATCATACATGTGTCAGAAAGAAAATTATTTTAGTAGAGATTAGTTTATGAAAAAAAATTTTTTTTGACGTTCCACTTCTCCAAGTATATAGGAAGTGAAAAAAGTTTGGAAACTCCTAGAATTTTAGCGGGTCTGCTAGTGAAGCATAAAATAAAAAAGTGAATCCCAGGTTACTCTAAACAGGGAACCTAATAATCCAATTTGAATTTGACCGTGAACCTCATCCAACCTGGTGGTCAATGAGAAACGCAGAAGTATGTACTGCAATCAGCAGAGAGAAATGTAACAATTAAAAGACATTGTTTTCATTGCAAGTAATTTTTTTTCTGATGAATCTACATTCACTTCTAATGAAACAGTGTTTTCAAAATTGGTGTTGCAACATTAACCCTAACTTAAATATTCAAAGTCGAATTCAGTATTCATTCAGAACCAATGTGTGGTATGGAATTTTCAAAGGTTCCAATAGTCGGGCCATTCTTTTTTCAGCAAACAGTGAATGCCCAGTGGTACCTACAATACGGCATTAGCAAGCTGGAACAATTTGTCACGGAACCAGAGAAGTTCAACAATATCTACAGACTCTTCTCAATTGGAGAGAAGGTATTTGGAGTTCCCGTAGCCCACCCTGTCTCTTGATCTCAAATCAATTAACATATTTATGAAGCTACACTAATGTGTCTGTAAAGATTCTGAAATTTTGATCATTTGGACATAATAATCAAGAAAACCATACTTGGCAGTAACAGGCAATGTGATATAGAATCTATTAAAAAACTTTCCTCGAAGGACAGCTATATTTTTTAAAAAGGGAAGGTGGTTATGTTGAGGCATGTCCACAATAAGGCATTAAGAGCTATAATGTTTTTCTCTATCAATGTTATATTTGAATGATCAAATCATAAATCTGATTCGAAGTTGCAGCACTGATATTATTGTAGTTCTTGGGGTACTCAGTATCTGACAATTACGTTTTGCAACAGGGCTATTTGGAAAAGCAGTCCATCACAACCACAAGGCACTTGTTACCGGATATGATCATAGGGAGTGGTCCCAGAATTTCAACTGAGATTTTCTCGAAAGGGCACCTACTGGATATTCCTGCACTACGATGATCTCTTGACTCGTTATGAAGTTATTGTCATTTCTCAGAGGCTGTGAATGATCTACCAAACCATGGTCAGGTGATTTCTCAGATTTCCTGTCCGTATCCCTTGACAAGGGCTGCTACCCTCCGTGTCAGAGGGAACCCGGAGCAGCGGAAGGTAGGGGAGCTTATCAAAGCTGTCCATAAAGGAGTCTCTGCCCGCTACCTTGTCACGACTGGTGGAAAGCTCTTCTCCTGGTATTTGGGTATCCTTGTCCTCCTGACGTTGACAAAATTTGCATCCAGATGTCTGGTATGGTCTTCTTGAGAGGCTATCTGCGTTTCCGTGACTATTTCCTTTCCGATGTTGAATTTTAAAATCATAAGTTTGTAATTCTTCGATTCACCTGACTACTTGTCCTTCTGGGGTTTTGAAGTTCAAGAGCCACCAAGGTGCTGAGTGGTCTGATCAAAAATTTACGGCCATATAAAAAGGAGTGGTAGTGTTCCACCGTTTTGACCACTGCAAGGAGTTCTTTTCTAGTGACGCAGTAATTTCTTTCGAACGTTCTCAGGGATTTTATAAATTAGCTGATGACGACTTCTTCTTCTTCTTTTATGTGAGAAAGTACTGCTCCTATTCTATGTTGGGATGCATCCGTCTCCAGTATAAACAAGCCCTCCTCCTTTGGATATGCCAGGATCGGTGCGCTGGCTAAATGCCTCTTCAGTGCAGAAAATGCTTGCTGACTGTCTGACGACCAAACGAAGGGGGTTTTCCGTTCAGTCAAGCTATGCAGTGTCCTAGCAATTTTCCAAAAATACGAAATGCAAATGAGCATTTTCCAGTGACTATAATGTCATCAAGATAGACCAAGCATGTTTTTCAGGTAAGTCCCCTCAACACCAACTCCATCAAGCGTTCAAATGTTGGGGGTGCATTGAATAATCCGAACGGCATAAACTTGAACTGATAAAATCCATTGCCGGTGGAAAAGGCAGTCTTATCTTTATCCTCAGGGCGAACGACTACCTGACAATATCCGCTTTTCTGACCTGATGTTGAGAACCATCTGCATTTAACCAAGACGTTCAGGGTGTCATCTATTCTGGGAAGAGAGTAACTATCCTTTCTGTGGTGACATCATTAAGCCTCCTGTACTCTTCGCAAAATCTCGTCGATCCATCTTTTTTAGTCACCAGTATGAGAGCTGTTGCTTTCCACCCATTATTCTCCACAGAGGCTTCAAAATGTCTGCGATAAATTGACCATGAAGATTCGCCATCGAATGTCGGAGTTTTAATTAAACTACTGCTAGAAGGGAGAGATGTCGTTTCCGATTTGCATTTTTCCACCACAATCCTCTTTGTCTCCGGTGATTCTTTCCTAAGTTCCCGGAAAACCTTTTCAAACTTTTTGTCGACTCCTCCAAGTTTCCTTTCAAGTTTCCTTCTGACTCGTTCAAACTCCTCTTCAAATTTCCTTTCAACCCCCTCAAGCTTCTCATTGACTATTTTTTCCTATCTTTCCTATCCTATCTTTCCTTCATTTCCTGTAATACTTTTCCAAATTCTTCCTGAATAAATTCCTGTACCTCCCCTTTACTCACCTGTGAATATTTTAAATCTTCCAATAAATGAAGATACATCTGATTATCTTTTGCCTGCTTATTCTGTTTTTCCTGAATATTTACCAGTAAGGTAATATTTACCAGTAAGTCTATGTTTTTTCCTGTGTTCCTCGATAGTAATTCACGATATTCATCTATTCTGCGTTCATCCTCTTCCCTTCTGCGATTTTCATTTTTCGTCAGGCTCGCTTGCAAGGCCTCCGAACATTTTTCAATTTTTTCCATCTGATTGTAATCGACACTTCTTGTTTTCAACATAAAACAGAAAATTTCAAGTCATTTCCGACACCAAATGTTACATTTTCCCCGTGGGTTGACCAATAATTGACTACACCGAACAATAATCAAACTTAACTTTATTTTACATTAAATACAACAAAACACTTCAACTAAAACTTTAACTATTATTCAAATGTGTATCGCCTTCCTGGATCGCTCCGTGTACCGCACTGTCACTCCCACTTGACTGTCCTGAAAGGCCAGCGGATCGTGTTTATATTTGGTNTTGATCATTCCCATATTGATTTCAATTTAAGAGCCACCGGTAGACAGCTGTTTCAGCCTATTGGGCATCGTCAGTACCGGGCAGGCGGTCCTCGATTGGAAAAACCAAGAAAAGTACTTAATAGAAATAACTGCGTGAACGCAAGCGAGACATAAGTGGAACCACCTATTGCAGGAGGAACATAAACAGATGTGCATTATCAGAACATGTCAATGATAATGACCATAAAATGGATTACAACAATTCCACTGACCTTTGTACAGAGGCAAACCAATTGAAAAGAGTTTTTCTGGAAATGGAACACATAAATAATGATGATATATCTACGAATAAAAGAACTGATTTTAACAATCTTAGTCAAATCTATACTAACATCCTCAAATGTCAAAAAGAAAAAACCACTTCTAATCAAAATTTTCTTCCTTAAAATTATCGTCACTGTCATTCGCTTCCATCAAAAAAAAAGAAATGTTTCATTTCACTAACGTGAAATTGTATCTTTACAAAAGATAAAACATATTGTTAATTAATATATTACAGTTGTCCTGAGGAAGGTGGTAAGCACCACCAAAAGCTTGACAAAAACAAAGAGTTTGAATATAAAGCTTCAAATCCTTTTTGTAAAATTTAATATTGAAATACTGAAAATAAACTGTGATCCTTTTTTGTCGACTTGACAGATGAAGATTTATGAAGCTCAGAAAACCTGCGAGGACAAATATTTTCTAAGAATTATTATAGTAAAAAAATAAAAATTCGAAATCTTTTCTTTAGCCTATTTTAAGATAATATCTCACACTTCTTATGTTGAATAAAATGGTGGTTATCGGGTCCATGGTGTTACTGTACGGTACGTACTGTTACCTATATCATATTTCCTTAATTTGTTTCCTCTAATTCTATTTCTTGTATGTATTTCTTACCAAAAGCTGGTAAGATGTTGTTTGTGTACATGTTTTCTTCGAAACTCTTACATGCTTGTGAAGCTTCAACCAAGTAAGACATTTTCTGATTTCAGCAATAACCATTTTATTCTTGGGCTAATAAACAATTAATGCGTCTAAAAGGCTTTATCTGGGTACAATATATCATATGTTTGTTATACATTTGTTAATATATTATTTTTTTATTCCTGTACTCTGAGCATACGTTCTCTTTGTCTTCATGTTATTTAATTCATAAATTTATCATTTTTGTTCAATCGCTATACTATTGTTAGTTTCATGCCTAAAGTAAAAGTTTAGAAAATCACTTGATTGTTGTTCGAAATTTAGCCTTTCCTTAGGAAAAATAATTTTTTGGCGTTCGTATTCAAATAGATACATAACTATTTCTCTTTCCCCCTTTGATTCTTGTTCCCATATTTCTATGTTTTTATTTCTTTCGACCTGTGAAGCGGTATTGAAAAAAACATTTGTTTTCTTCAATGTTTTTTATAATAATGCTTTTTTTTCTATCAGTGCTATCCCTATCAAAACTATCACTGTCTTGATTTTGAACTATACTTATTTCTTTATCTGATTCTAAATCTGAATCGTATCAATTTTTTTTTGTTGGAAGATTTCTCTTCCCCCTCAACCCCTGAACATGTGAACAGTATCCGAGTCATTCTCTTATGTTTTCAATATCCAATTTAATTTAAATAATTCCCGGTAATAAAAACCAAGAAGTCAAAAAAGAGGGTAGAGAAAAAGTTATACGAAGTGTATCAGCACACTTTCTCTCGCTCGCTAAAATAGTAGCACATAACGTCCATTCGAGTGGTTGCACCGGCGTGGTTGTTCTTCTGTCACATGGGAGTTACGAAATAACAGCAGGAGGCCTGTACAATGTCATAAGTGTCAGCTTTGGGGACATGCTACGAATTACTGTTTCAGGGCGCCGAGGTGTCTGAAGAGTATTGAAGGGCACCAGACATACGAGTACCAGAAGCCCAGAACGGAACCGGCAAAGTGTGGAAACTGCGGTGGAGATCACCTCGCCAATTTCAGGGACTCTTCAGTCCACCGGGAGAAGGCGGAGGAGGTCGAAGCCAGACAAAGAGACAGGCAACCACCATCTCAAAAGCAGGTTCAGGCACCAATCCCAAAACTGGTTCCTGCACCACCTCCTAAAGTGAACCCATGTACGAAGTGAGCCGGGATGCAGCAAGCCCCTTGGTCGCCAGCCCTTCCTCACCCACCACCGGTGCAAGAAGAGCGGGCGTCTAGACCCACGATAGGAGTTCAACATTCGTGCAACGAATGATCTCTGCAACCTCATGGCAGGTGCTACTAGCCCACCACTGGAAAAGTGGACCGCGTTCGCGACGTTCGCGGGCAGTATAAGCAAATACAACTTCTAAATGCCTATAAAGGCATGCATGCTGAATGTGGACGGA